GGGCAGTCAGATCTACACCAGTGTCGGCACTACAGGTAGAGGTCGGAGAAATACCAATTTATTTGAGGAGAAAACAGTTAATTGTTCATTATTGGGCAAATCTTCAGGGCCATAAAGATACTTGTTAAGGAAATAATTATCATAGACGCCAAGATGTGACATACAGGACAAACCTTGATGTCTGTTTACCTCCTTTAAGGACACAGGCTGCTTCAGCCAATAATGTTATTGTTCCCATTCTATGACCGGTCAATACTGGGTCACAGATGGTCTGTATTGTGGGTACACTGGGACACTTCCTTCTCTGTTGTCTGAGGACTCCAGGGCATGACATATGCAAGGCCATACGTGGCGGAAGCTGGTAACTTAGTGTGCCCAAACTATCTAAAGCTATCTTATCAAAACATGTTGATGACTCTCTGTGGAACCAGTTAAATGGGCTAGCAAGAGACAGGCTCTCCAGAATTGACGTGGCAACCCACCCGTGCAGTCTCACCGTGACTGCTGTGACTTGTGATGTGAATACTCTGGTACCAGGAACTCCAAATAAATCAGTGGTTTGACATCAAAGCTCCGACTCTTCCCGTGTCTCCTTCCTGAGTCGGTGACTCCACTGCACATGCTACACAGAAGTTTCCTCTACAATACTCACCCTACTAAACAAACTGTACAAACAAGTTGGGAAAGTAACAAAATAAAAAAATTAAGTTTTTGTGTTTGTGTTTCGGAAATATGTAAGGAATTCAAAGTTAAAGAATGGAATATTAGTCCGACGGTGTTGTTATCAGCTGTTCCAACATGGTTGCTACCTCAACCTATAGTAGATTTATCACTATTGAAACGGTTACATTCAATGAAAAACAAAATCAATGTACAGGCTTATGTGAATACTGTTCTACATGAACAATATGGGCACTTTATAAAAATATTTACTGATGGATCCAAAAATCCAGAAAATGGTCTAACTAGTTGTGCATTTTATGTTCCTGAATTAAAAGTAAAAGTGGGAAAGCGTACGAGTGATCACATCGCAGTATATACAGTATAGATGATGGCTATCTCACTAGCACTTCAGTGGGTAGAGGAAATACAGCCAATGCGAGTGGTCATTTGCTCTGACTCCAGTGTAGCTCTGGAGAGTATAAACAACTTCTCTTCAGAATGTCGTCAGGATATTTTACATGAAATTTTACACATCATGTTTAGGTTAGTTCATCTGGGAATTGTTGTTCAATTTGTGTGGGTTCCAGCGCATGTGGGTATTAGAGGGAATGAAGTAGTGGATCAACTGGCAAAATGTGGTTTGAAAGCAAACCAGATTGATATTATGGTACCCATCAGTCGATCAGAAGTCAAATCTGTTACAAAAGTGGTTATCAAGCAACAATGGCAAAAACGATGGGACAGTAACATCAAAGGAAGACATTTATACCAGATACAAAGGGAAGTAGGAACAGGAAGCACTTGGGGGAGTAGTAGAAGAGAACAGAGCATTAACAGCAGGATACAATTGGGACACTCTGGATTAAACTCATCACTGCATCTGATTGGAAAACATCCAAATTACAATTGTGATGGTTGCCAACAACCAGAGACAATACATCATGTATTTTTTAGCTGCCCGGAATATACAAGGCAAAGACTCATTCTGAAAACTGTACTGGAACAATTCAACGTCAAGGACATGGATTTCAAGTCAATATATGAAAGTAAATCACGAAATGAAGCAAACAAGCTGATCTTCAAATTCCTCAAAAGCACTGGTCTGAGGACAAGGATTTAATATGAACATTTAATACCTCAACAGTAGGTGGTGATATATGCTCCAAGTGGAAGCGATTCGCCATTAAAGAGAAGAAGAAGAAGCACGTGCATTTGCGTACACGTAACAGCACCGCGCGTTCATGACAGCATGGTACTGGATTTATATTAACGACGAGGCGGCAGTTAGCAGCTAGCGGCTAGCTAGTAAATTATGCTAAATTACACATCAATCGTTATGTACTTTAATATTACGCTGACATCAGGATCTAGTGATATCCAAGCAACAGAGCTTCATTTAGCATTATACTTGTGTGGGTTGTACATGAAACCACTTGGTAATATATAAAAATAAACATAAACAACATGTTTATTTTGAAGCCTGTTATGATCAATTATGAGTTAAAACGTTATCTAAAAAAGTAAAGCTGATGATGGATTACTGTGGTGGAGTTAAAATAGCAATAGCCTATTTCTTTTTGAAATTTGATGGAGTAAAAGGATAGTAACTGTGATTATTCATGTTAAGTAGCCCACAAGTAACTAAAACAATTGCAAGTGCAATAAGAAGCTACAGGAACGTTAATCTACGTCGGTAATATTAACTTTATTTAATACAACATTTACGGTACAAGATTTACATCATACAGCCCATGTAGTATAATATTTTACAAATTATGAATTACAGCAAACATGTGCAATATATCCATTATTACAGCTCCGTGGGATGGCAGTAAGGCGATATGGTCCGTTATTCTTTCACACAGTGATGTCACAAGCTACCCACAATGCAACGCGCGCCATATATATATATATATAAATACGCCATTTTTCTGGAGGTGCAAAAATCCTGGAGGTGCTAATATAAACAGCTAGCTAATGTAGCCAGGCAGAGCGCATTAGGTTTTTTTAATGAATTAACGACCGAAGAAATCGCTGCATGTCTTCGGATTACATCTCTGGACTTGAGGGGTGTGCTTTAGGTCGTTACCAGCGTAAACTAGAGCTGTGTGGGTTGTCGGATTGCCCTATGGAAAAACGATCCTCGAAAGTGGCCTTCGGTCGATTTTGGCAGCATCTACGTCTATCTTCTGGAAACACCAGGTGAATACCCCACTTGTCACAATAATATTATCATGCCAATGCATATATGTGGTATTTTAGAGTTGACTATATTGATTAAGGCAATAGACTATGATATTCTGCTTGCACCTCGTGTGAAATGGCGGATACCGGAAGTACGGTGTCGCCCTCGGCCCAAAACCCGTATGTGTGTGTGAAAGAATTGTGCATCCATGGGTAAAGAGAAACTCATGTAGTACTGAACACGTAACATGAACGTGCCGGGCGGCGCGGTCCCGTGGGTTAGATGCGCGTTCATAATGCCGAGGGAAATAACTCTCAGAATAACGTTATTAGCACATTTTTACAACTTGAGGAACGAATGTTTTTAATAAGGGCTATACAAACGTTCATACTGGGTAGTTTATTTAGTTTAAAAAAAATTATCCAACGAGTTACAGACCACTCTTTCCCAATGTAAGTCAATGGGAAAAAGTGTTTCCAGGCCCAGCAACCTAAAGGAAGTGTAGTACCGCCGTTTGACCAGCACGAATATTCTCATCAGACTCCGGCGCACTTCCTGGGGGCTTGGGCGGGACCTGCTGCCTCCGAACTGGAAGTAAACAGAGCTAGCTCAGGCTAAGAAGCTAAGCTAACATGAAATACATGCATACCAAGTTACTGCGAACAGTGTAGTTCCCCTATATAAACGTTACATTCACAATCAAATGAGACAATCTGCAAGAGAATTAGCTATATTTTGTTATTCTTAATGCTTGTCATTCACACGTTGAGAAAAGACGGACCTAATGGATCCGCAGTGGGCTAGCTCCGGGACGCCGGCTGGAGCTAGCCCCCTGCGGCTCCGTCAGTTTGTCCAGAAGTCTTCTCATCAGGGCTCTATAAATAAAGAATTACGGCAGATGTGTAATATTTAATGCAGTCGAACCGTGTATTACAATGCCGTCATGTGATGACTTCCAAAGAGAAAAGCAAGAACACTCGGAATAAAGTATTTAAAAAAAAAAAAAAAAAAATGTTTTCGGATATCATATCTTATTAACACCATATCCCAGCGTGCATTGCGACTGAAACATCCAATCAACGAGCTTCAAGCTGAGGATCTTGGGTAATCAGTTCAGTGGGTTTGTGGCATGGATGTATAATAAGAACTGGATACAGCGTGGGAGGCGGGGACTCATTCATTCCTATGAGAGTTGCTCATTAGCGCATGATGACAAAATGGCCCAACTTTTGAGAGAGCGAAACGTCACAGATTACCCGGCATGCCTGAGAAGTACCCGTATGTGCGCTCATAGCGCATGCGCAACTTTAACCACGCCGCCCAAAAGGCTCGTTCACATTAAGCACGTGAATGTACGTACACGTAACAGCACCGCGCGTTCATGACAGCATGGTACTGGATTTATATTAACGAGGCGGCAGTTAGCAGCTAGCTAGTAAATGATGCTAACTTACACATCAATCGTTATGTTCTTTTATATTACGCTGACATCAGGATCTAGTGATATCCAAGCAACAGAGCTTCATTTAGCATGATACTTGTGTGGGTTGTACATGAAACCACTTGGTAATATATACAAATGTATATGTTGAAGCCTGTTATGATCAATTGTGAGTTAAAACTTTATCTAAAAAGTAAAGCTGATGATGGATTACTGTGGTGGAGTTACAATAACAATAGCCTATTTATTTTTGAAATGTGATGGAGTAAAAGGATAGTAACTGTGATTATTCATGTTAAGTAGCCCACAAGTAACTAAAACTTATAATACTTGAAGGAAAGGTGTAAAATGTTCCCATAAATATACAGTACAACACCCCTTGTTGTTAAATACCAACCATGTGTATATATATATATAAATATATATATAAATATGCCGCTAAAACTGTGTAATATACCAGGCTGCTAAATCCTCCAAACTGTTGTTGCTGGATGTGTTTTTTGTGAAATGTGTATTTTTTTTAAATTATAATTTCTTGTTTTGAATCTTTAATACTTTATTTATGCATACTTGAAGTAACATTAGGCTGTCTTTGGCTCTTTTCTGCTGTAACAATGTAAATGTATTCTGATCTAATTGATGTTTTTGTCAGTTTGTTTCCCTATATTGCGACACTTATTTGGTTTAAGATTATTTCTCCTTTTTTTACAGACATCCCGAACCATAGTGGAATGCTGTTGTAAAGGATTGTATTGATCCGTGCATCAATACCTTCACCCAGCTTTGAGGCCTCCAATGAATGAACATCATCTTGTGGCTGGGAAAAATGTGAACAAATACATCTCACAATGAGTGACTTTCTGGTGTAATCATTATAATATCAAAGACAAGCACTTTAAGTAACAATATATCAAATCATTCAGCAGCAGAGGATGGGGTGGAAACAGTATTTCTAACTAAGAGGATTACAATATTACAAGTTAAACATCAAGATGAACATACTATTATTAATTTAAAAAGTACATGGGAGACTTAAATATCCTGCAATATACCATTAGCAGAATAGGAACAAATGTGCCAAAACATTTCTAAAATAAACAAACAAACTGAGGGCTTTCTTCCTGAGCCGCTGGGAGTAAAGGTCCTCCATGGATGGCAGCTCCGCCCTGGTGATGTTCTGTGCAGTTTTCACCACCCTTTGGAAAGCCTTACGAATGAGGGCGGTGCAGCTGCCGTACCAGGCTGTGAAGCAGCTGTGTCCGTGATGGACACTGAGGAACCTGAAGCTGCTGACTCTCTCTACCATAGTCCCATTGATGGCGATGGGGGGCGTGTCCCTCTCTTTGCTGCTTCCTGCAATCCACAATCAGCTCCTTGGTTTTGCTGACGTTGAGATGGAGGTTGTTATCCTGGCACCAAGATGTCAGGTTTTCGACCTCCTCTCTGTACGCCGTCTCGTCGTCTGGGTGAGGCTGGGGAAGATGAGTGAGGGAAAGAGAGAAACAAAACAGGGGGACTAATATGAGTGAAGGAAAGAGAGAAAAAGACAAGGGAACTGTGACGGAGCGGGTCACAGAGTGACTGACTCCGCCACTGACAGCCGACACACCAAACATTTCCTGCTCTCTTCCGTCAAATGAACCATGCAATTTCTTATTTATTTTTACTTTTGTTAATTATGGGGAATGATTGTATTAAGAGGTGGTTAACCTGTTTTATGTTTGGGTCGGATTTTTATGTTGAAATGTGGTTTTGAGCTAATTGTGTCACCTGTTGACGGTAAGCCTGTGGGAGGGGCTATGGGCTCATAAGGGACGGGGTTTTTTGGACTGTGGCACTCTGAAGAATGTTGCAGTGAAGGCAACAGCTGGGACGTGTTCGGGGGTTTGTTGCAGAGAAGGCAACAGCCAGAACACGTTTACTCTGAATGAGTGATGGACGGCCTTTTTTTGTTTTTTTATTTTGTTTGTTTAAGGTATGCTGGTTCGTATATTTTTTGTTGCTGTTAAGAATAAAGTTTTTTGGAGCGTAACCCAACCGACTAGGCCAGTGTTTGTGAACGGACAAATAGAGCCCCGTCACATATGGTGTCAGAAGTGGGATGGCTAGTCGGAGGAAGCTGGGCGGCGTTGCGGAGCGGCGAACGGGACTACGATCCCGGCGTCAGCAGCAGGAGGAGAGCGCGGCTGCCGGGTCGGAGCGGGCATGGGAGACGGAGGACGAGGATGAGGACGGGTCCTGGGTGGGCCCAGCGGCTCCTGCGGCCTCGGGGTCGGCCAGTGGACCAGGGCGAGAGGGGTTCCTGTTGGCGGAGCTTCGGGACCTACGGACTTCTGTTTCGGTTGGTGATCCGTATCTTCGGTCGGACTCCGATGGCCGGCCTGATCAGCCGGCGCATGGGTGGAGGCACTGTGCGGTGCGGAGATTCCACAGTGCCAGTGCGGTGAGGACATGCAAACTGTTTGTTGCGGTTTGGGACGCATTGCCAAAGCGTGGAGGTGGCTGTTTGTCTTTTCAGGTTGCCGCACATCGCCAACCTTGGGGAGGGAGAGGATAATGTGACGGAGCGGGTCACAGAGTGACTGACTCCGCCACTGACAGCCGACACACCAAACATTTCCTGCTCTCTTCCGTCAAATGAACCATGCAATTTCTTATTTATTTTTACTTTTGTTAATTATGGGGAATGATTGTATTAAGAGGTGGTTAACCTGTTTTATGTTTGGGTCGGATTTTTATGTTGAAATGTGGTTTTGAGCTAATTGTGTCACCTGTTGACGGTAAGCCTGTGGGAGGGGCTATGGGCTCATAAGGGACGGGGTTTTTTGGACTGTGGCACTCTGAAGAATGTTGCAGTGAAGGCAACAGCTGGGACGTGTTCGGGGGTTTGTTGCAGAGAAGGCAACAGCCAGAACACGTTTACTCTGAATGAGTGATGGACGGCCTGTTTTTGTTTTTTTATTTTGTTTGTTTAGGGTATGCTGGTTCGTATATTTTTTGTTTCTGTTAAGAATAAAGTTTTTTGGAGCGTAACCCAACCGACTAGGCCAGTGTTTGTGAACGGACAAATAGAGCCCCGTCACAGGAACCTTACACACATTTAAAAAAAATAGTGTGAGTAAGTGAAGACATCCTTACAAGGAGGACTGCCCTGTCAAATTTAAAAGTTATTCTTGTTAAATATACATATCCTGTTGAGGCTAGAATCCAAAATGCAGAACCACTTTAGATTGTAGCCTCAAGGGACTGTTTAAGGTTACTTAAAAACATATCATTTCCCAAATTGGGGTGAAAATTAAACTCCATCTCTTAGAAATATGCCAGGGCAGTCAAACTTAATGCAAGGATCCTTACACTCTCTCTTACAAAATTCTTGTAAAAACTATACAGCACCTTGTCCAAGTATGGCGGGAGGCCCACTTTCCTTCAGATTTCTCTCTGGATGTCGATCCGGCTATTTCTGTCGCCATCTATAAATAAAAGTACAAATGATTAGCTCTTCACGCCTCTTTTAAAATAATATGTGTTTCTTGAAGATTCTGTATGCATCGTCATTTACAATGGTAGGGGACATGGCATTGGAAATTAGTTGTGAAAAAGACATGTCATTTTTTAGTTTTTTCATCTCACATTTATAGATTTAAATAAAAAATTATATATATATATATATATATATATATATATATATAGATATATATATATTATATATATATATATATATATATATATCTATATATATATATATATATATATATATATATATATATATATATCTATATATATATATAATATATATATATATATCTCGAATTATAAATGCAAAGTCTGGTTTCTAGAAAGTTAGCTAATGCATACAGAGTTAACATTGCAGAACTGCTGGCATGCATACATTCTCTAGCATTTTGTTAACTATGAAAAGTATGGAAAATTACTGTGCAAACACCCAACATTAGCTTAGGCCCACTAGTAGCGGTTGCTGATGAGTGGTTTGGCTTATTTTACACTTTTATATGAGAACATGTTACATTACATACAGACATTAAGGAGGCAGGTTAGAAAATACATATGTTTTCGTATCTTACCTTTTGGAGCAAACTGTTGTCGGTTGTTAGCATAGACTGTATATATAAAGCGTTGTCTCTTTAGCCTCAGTGACGTGACAGTGAACACTGAACGTGACCGCGTGTGAAGGGGGAGGTGCGTGCTGAACACGTCACATCACATGAACGTGCCGGGCAGCGCGGTCCCGTGGGTTAGATGCGCGTTCATAATGCCGAGGGAAATAACTCTCAGAATAACGTTATTAGCACATTTTTACAACTTGAGGAACGAATGTTTTTAATAAGGGCTATACAAGTCTTCATGGGTTGTTGATTTAGTTTTTAAAAAATTATCCAACGAGTTACAGACCACTCTTTCCCCATGTAAGTCAATGGGAAAAAGTGTTTCCGGGCCCAGCAACCAAACGGAAGTGTAGTACCGCCGTTTGACCACTACGAATATTCTCATCAGACTCCGGCGCACTTCCTGGGGGCTTGGTTTGTGGTGTGTATCGCTCGAAATGTCCCGTCTGTTTCCGGTGACTTTATTTACGGCTAAAAAGCATGCTAAAAAGCCCAAGATTATAGAATTAAACGAATAAATAAAAACAAGGATAATTGTGTGTTATTGTTGAGTAAATAACAGTGTGTTATTTAGAAAAGAATAACAAATTAGAAGGAAAAAAAGATTTGAAAAATACAGATTTCAGTATTCTGAGGCTCTGAGCTCCATTTATTTTCCTCACAGACGGAAACAAAAGTCCGAAATTATACGATTTAAAATAAAAGCAATAATTGTGGGTTGATATTGAGTAAGAACATGTTTTTATGAACCACACAGCTTCCGGTCTTCCACAGACCCGACCGGAGAAAAAGACGTGCTGCAGGCACGAAACACATTACCAGTATAAATACATTGCTTTTAAATTCGTGCTGTGCAACACGAAACAAAGGGGGAAATTGTGTTGGTGAACACGAATCAATAGATTAAAAATCGTGTTGGTGAACACAAAATGCCATGTGACTGGGTAGTATATGCTTTATGAATACATAGATAGCAAATATTGATAACATTGTAAACTAGTCCACTGTATGTCTTATAACAAAAGAGCCGTAATATACACACACACACACACACACACACACACACACACACACACACACACACACACACACACACACACACACACACACACACAGTACAGTAACTTTTTATATGGAGTGACATGTTTTCCTGAAATATGATCTGGTCGACATTCCAAGACATATTATATGTCGTATTTGTCGTCTCATTCATCTTATTTAGAAATTGCAATCCTTTGCAGATATAACATTATTATTTTTTATTGCATTTATTTTTTAAATCTCATACAAAAACAGACGACAGAGTAGCTTCTTTCCTCAGGCTTTTTTTATTGTTATGTAGCTTAAATGGATAATATTAAAATGTCTAATAGATCTAATTCAGAAACTTGTGTACTTAACTATTATCTTGAGTCAAACCATTACTAGGATCTGTGTAGCTCTGCATTTCATAGCTCATTATACTCATTTATCTTCAATTCTGGTCTACCTAAAAAACAATGTTAAACTCTTTAGCAGTGTGTGGAACTCAGGGTGTCCGAACATGCAACAATTACTCCCTACTTTATCAAGGATTTAAAAACAAAAGTCATTTCGTATGTCCATCCGAAAGCCCTTCTATGGTAATAACTATGCCACAATTGTGAAACCAATATCTCAAATTGAAATACTATATTTTGTTTAGAAATGAAAGCTTTAGCGCAAGTTCAATAAGGAAGACCTAACACGAGTCACTTACACGTCACTCTATAGCTCCCTTCCCCCCTCATTAAATACGAGGGCGTCACCCCTCAGCAGCCAATTGCTGCACATGCTAAATTCCTTAAATGCCTGCTCTTCCTCCCTGTCAGTTGTCATTGGAGATGATCACACGCAATGGTAATACTACAATACTCCTTCTCGTGAGAAAAACCGTAAGAAACAACTAGCTCAATATGTCCAACTCGGACAATTCGAAACACGAACCTTCTCTGGAAGTATCCGATCCCGGTTCGGCTACCCACAGCGGCTTATCAACAGAGGCAGACTTCCTCATCGCCCGGCTCCTGCAGCAGGGCTTTCCCACAGCCCCAGGCCTCACTCTCTCTCAGCGAGAGCTCTCGGACCAGGTCTCCAGCGTAGCTCCCCAGTCCGGGGCAGCAGCTCCAGTCAGCTCCCCAGAGAGCAAGGCGAGGACGAGGCCGCAGCCGCGGAGGTAAAAAAGGGCAGGAAGTCGAGCCCTCCAGGATCCCGTCCCCCTCCAAAATCCACCCCTTCTCAGGCTCGCCATGCAGGGAGTGTCACACCCCTATGGAGAGTGGCGCGGCCGGCTCCCTGCAATCCCTGGCTAGCTCCATGATAGCTATCGATGCTCGCCTCCAGGCCCAGGAAGACTCCGCCACAGGAGCTTCAACTTCCGTTGCACTCAGGTACTAGTTTTAACGAAAATGCTTGCACTCACCATTACACAGGGTTGGGTTGTAACGGAATACATGTAACGGTGTTACGTAATCAGAAAAAAATCAGTATATTCAGCTGGTGTTACATTTGAAAAACGAGTAATCCGAGTGCAGTTACTTTCGTAAACCTGAAGTGAATACTTATTGGAATTATTGGTGGAAAGTTTCCTCACAATATGTAATATTCATTACCGGCAGAACCGTGTGCACACTGCACAGTGCTGCAGCGTATCTGTGAGCGAGAGGTGCAGCGTGTCCGTGAGGCCCCGCCCCGCACGCAGATGAGAGAGAGAGAGAGAGTTCTCTTTCAATATATATTGGAAGGTAGAAACGGAGATGTTTAGATAAAACGTGGCAGATAACGTTTATGTAGCATTTATTTATTGTCGAAATGATGACATTTATAACGGGATCAAATCTAACTGAATGGCCTGCTGCTGCCGAATGCATGGGGCAAGTAACTGGGAAAAGTTTTTTAAGTTATTACATCGTTTCAGATAATAATGCATTCTATTTAGGGGTGCCTTTCAAAGCACCCAAGGACACCTTACAATGCATAAACTATTCCAAGGAAAGGTTTGAAGACAGTACAAAGAATGCAGTCTGGGTGAGTTTTTCTTTTTATGTGCGGTGCAGATGAGAGAGCTGTCCAGAATGACACTACAATGTTGTGTTTGTGCTCTTCATAAGCCATTAAAACAGTAAAAATATGTGTCTCCCGTTCACCAAAACATACCCATCTGTTATGGAAAATAAAGTATTCTAAAGAAAAAAGAAAGAAAAGAAAAGAAAGAAAAAAGATTAAAAAAAGAAGAGGAAAGAAAAAAAAAAAAAGAGAAGAAAAGGAAGTATTCTAAAAGTAATCTGCCACCGGTACCGGCGGGATTGTTGTTAGTTTCTGATGCGCAGAAGAAAAATCTGGCCCACCCTATATTTTTACAGGCCCACATTTCTACATTTCTGCCTACGCTACTGGTCCGCACAGCAGCAACAACCAATCGCATGAATCTCTTGCCCCCGACATACAAAGCAATAGCAATGTTAAAACGAAGTAAACTGTAAAAAATAAAATAAAAAAAAACCCGGGGATTTTATGCGAGATATATATATATACTCCCCAAACAGGCGAAAACCTACCAGTTTCACCCACTGTCTCTGCTACCTCCCTCCATGCCTCGCTCCTCTGGTTTGTATCCCGGTAGATGAACAGACTGATCATACAGCACCAGGTGATTCAATACCGCTATAATGAATTTTCCCTCACATTTTTGGAATATGAGGAATTACCTGCGTAGTCTCTCCCAGCATACACGCAGTCTGATTGGCTAGCGCTTGTACTGGCAGATTTGCATAAATGGGATTTCATTGGCTGACGCTTCTGCCGAGGTGCCAAAAGTTGAACATTGCTCAACTTTTTGAAGCGAGCATCGCCAGCAAACGCTCCACGTCGCTTCCCAAAATACAGTTCTGCTAAAAGTGACGTCACCCCATTCAAAGTGAATGGGCAGAAGCGTTTGGAAGCTGTAACGCACGCCACCGTGTGGACGGGCCGTCACAGTGGCTCTGCGCCAGAAACATAAAAAAAATTCTGGAATATCACCCCTCCACTCCCATTAACATCCCTCAGCTAGCAGCTGCGCTATCTACTCACCCAGATTCCGTGTTTGTTGACTATCTCCTGTCAGGGCTCTCCCAAGGCTTCAGGGTAGGGGTCCTCCCATCTCCCACAGTGACTTTCGTAGCAAGAAACTTACAGTCAGCCGCTAAAGAACCCAACATAGTTTCCCAGCTCATCAACAAAGAACTTCTCAAAGGATATATAATCGGTCCTTTTAGCTCCTCCCCCTTCTCAGTTTTCCGTTCAAATCCCATCGGAATAGCCACACGTAAATAAAAGGCTGATTTTCGATCTGTCCGCTCCCTGCTCCGGCCCATTCTGCAGCATCAATAGCATCATCCCTCCAGATCAGTTCTCCCTTCACCATGCCTCAGTGGATAATGCAATAAAGATGATCAAGTTCACAGGGCACGGAGCTCGGCTCTCCAAAGCGGACATTACTGATGCTTTCAAATCATCCCCATTCATCCGTCTCAGTGGAATCTGTTCGGTATTAAGTGGGAGTCCAAACTCTATTTTCGCCGTTCGCCTGACCTTCGGGTGCAGAAGCAGCCCCCACATCTTCAATTCCTTCTCGGAAGCGCTCTACTGGATCCTGCTGAACATCGTCAGAATCCCCTCCGTCCTTCACCTACCGGACGACTTCCTCCCCATAGACCCGCCACAGGACAGCTCAGGGATCTCACTGGCCAAGCTTAAACACTGCTTCAGGAGTGAGGTGTCCCTCTCTCCAAAGAGAAAACGTTAGGTCCCGACACACGCTTAGAGTTCTTAGGCATCATCCTCGACTCCATAGACATGAAGGCGTCTCTCCCCTCCGACAAATTGCAGCGCATCCGGGACATCACCAAGTCATACTGCGAGCAACAAGTTATCACAAAACAACAGTTGCTCTCCCTTCTCGGACACCTCAACTTCGCCATGCACGTCATCCCCCAGGGGCGCTCGTTCATCTCCCGCCTCCTGGACGCAGCATCAGCAGTCGACAACCTCCATGACTGCGTTTTCTTAGACGAAGGCTGCCGCTCAGACCTATGGTTCTGGTCCCTCCTGCTCGCCCACTGGAACGGAGTTACTTTCTTTTACGATGACCTCGTGCGTTCCTCTGACTCAATGAGGTTCTTCACGGATGCCGCCCATCCATGGGTTTTGGGGGTTTCTTCCAGGGAGAGTGGTTCGCAGGGTCATGGCCCTGTCAATTTCTACCTCAAGCAAGTTCTCATTAAATCCGGCCTATCACCTATATCATACCCGGGACATTCCTTCAGGATAGGTGCAGCCACCTCTGCTGCTAATCAAGGTCTCTCTACCTCATCCCTACAACAACTAGGACGGTGGTCCTCCTCCGCCTTCACAACCTTCATTCGTCCGGACATCAACGCCGTACGGGCTTCCCAAAGATCTCTCAGACCCTAACTATGGTATCTATGCATATAACTGGTGGTGGTTCATAACACATCTACACGTATACATGTCTCATCATGGTATCGGATTTCAAACTGCATTCCTGTCCTAGTCCGTGGGCCCCCGCCCACAGGGAACAATGTCTCGTCTCACGCTGCACCTACCTGTAACGGGCTTCATCTCCTGCACGCAGGTATCCAAATCCAGGCCCTTGCTCAAATGTGTCAGTGTAAAATGTATATCCTGCGAAGTCAGGCGTGGACTCGGGCCACCGTACACTTCGGTGTCGTGGCTTCGGGCCACCGTACACTTCGGTGTCGTGGCTTCGGGCCACCGTACACTTCGGTGTCGTGGACGTTGGGCCACCGTACACTTCGGTGTCAGTTACAAAACAAAGAAAAAAAATAAAGAAAGAGTAAAAAAGAAAAAAGATATATCCTGCGAAGTCAGGCGTGGACTCGGGCCACCGTACGCTTCGGTGTCGTGGCTTCGGGCCACCGTACGCTTCGGTGTCGTGGCTTCGGGCCACCGTACGCTTCGGTGTCGTGGCTTCGGGCCACCGTACACTTCGGTGTCGTGGCTTCGGGCCACCGTACACTTCGGTGTCGTGGACGTTGGGCCACCGTACACTTCGGTGTCGTGGACGTTGGGCCACCGTACACTTCGGTGTCAGTTACAAAACAAAGAAAAAATAAAGAAGTAAAGAAGAAAAAGAAAAAAATATATATCCTGCGAAGTTAGGCGTGGCTTCGAGCCACCGTACACTTCGGTGTCGTAGCTTTGGGCTACCGTACACTTCGGTGTCGTGGACGTTGGGCCACCGTACACTTCGGTGTCAGTTACAAAACAAAACCGTTCGACCTTCGGGCGGCGTAATCAAGCCCTGCTAGCCAGGCAGGCGACCCGCAGGTCGTTTTCAGATAAGACCGGCACTGATTTCGGCAGTCAGTCTCAGCATGACCCGTAAGCTCCGGCAGTGATTCCGGCCCAATGCCGCTTACATATGTTAATCTATTATCTTTCATTCCCAGATCACCAGTCACCCCACAAGGTAAGCAACTCAGTTCATCTCAGTATTTCATACTTCACTGGTTTTGGGGATTTCATCGGAGCGGTTCTTTCCCTCCTGAATGATTATCCTGCAAAACGGGGCCTAATCGCCAAACACCATTACATTCTCCTGTTGTATTATCATGGCAATCATTTCATTCATATGACGTGTAAACAATAAATATGTAATCCTTACATCACGTCTCTCCGGTTTGAAATGAAAGCTTTAGCGCAAGTTCAATAAGGAAGACCTAACACGAGTCACTTAAACGGCACTCTATGGCTCCATTCCCCCCTCATTAAATACGAGGGCGTCACCCCTCAGCAGCCAATTGCTGCACATGCTAAATTCCTTAAATGCCTGCTCTTCCTCCCTGTCAGTTGTCATTGCAGATGATCACACGCAACCCGCCTCCACCCCACTCGCCTCCCGTCTCCTCCAGGACAAAGCTAAACCTTCCTTCTTCAGACCGGTCTCACCTACTCATCACCACCACCAGTGTCTAGACCCCGGGGATTTCATCGGAGCGGTTCTTTCCCTCCTGAATGATTATCCTGCAAACCGGGGCCTAATCGCCAAACACCATTACATTCTCCTGTTGTATTATCATGGCAATCATTTCATTCATATGACGTGTAAACAATAAATATGTAATCCTTACATCACGTCTCTCCGGTTTGAACTAGCTTTCCCTTCAACATGACCTAAATAAATATTTATTTGATTGTATTGAGTGGTTACCAAAACTCTCCCTTTGAACTGTAGATAAATACTGTAACAACTTAAAACACTACCCAATTCTCACATGAATACAAACTCTAAAAGAATAATTTGTAAACATGATGAAAAGATTGAAGAATCTGTTCTACTCTGTACTCCTAACTCCAAAACACCCACTGCTGAAAGTGTTGTGAATATTTCCATCATGTCTCCCCCTTTATCCCACAGTACCTTGTGTGTTAGGATTATTTTCTCCTTTTACTTTAATAGTTTCTCTTTACTGCTATTTTTAATTTACCAATTGATTGATTAATGGGTAATACAACTTTTTATCTTTACTTATTTATCTTTTGTTCATGATAACAATGGTATAACAACCACATGTTTTACCCATAGCTAGTTTCTATGTCAAGATTATTATGTGTGACATAATAATCAGATGTCTTGTTTGCTAAACAAGAATATTAAACTTTAATCTTTTCAGTATTCCAGACCATCATTTAAACAAGCAGCCTCTTATCTAAACACTAAGCATTAAGCAGGGCTCGACATTATAATTGGCCCGCTGGCCCGGAGGCACTATTTAGACACCCCGGGCCAGCATAACGTACTTTCCACTTGCCCGCTCGGGCCACTAAAAACAGTAAGACATACATTCACATTGTTCTGTGATATTGGTATTTTGACAAGCAATTTTGTTAGATTATTCCGTTTATTAACGCTACAACATCGCGCTCTACTCTGCAGCTGTTTGTTGCGGAGTAGAGTGCAGTGCGAGCAGGCTCTCGTTCGCGTGCAGCGGGAGTAGGCCCGTGCACGCGCAGCTCGAGCCTGCTCGCGCTGCACGCTCACTACAGACTTTCGCCCCACCTAACCATTCGGCAAAATGTTTTTAAAACAACCAGTAACCGGCCAAGAGCCGGGCAAAAAACAGTCCTTAAATAAAAGAAAGTCACCGGAGGAGTTAAAGGAGAGTGACAGGGAGTACGAGAAGAGGGAGAGAAAGTTTCAGGCACACTGGCTTGATCGTTGGAGTTGGCTTGAATATGATGCCAATATAAACAAGGTCTTCTGTCGGCTCTGTACATCAATGCCGACCTATGCTGACAAGTAAGTGAAGAGTAGAAAATATTATGGTATATTCGCTATAGGGAAATGTCCCAGCAGTTTAGGACAAGGAAGGCTAGAGGCTAATATATTATAGCCATTACATGTCTAACTCCTGATAATGGCAGGAAGGCAGAAAGCGCATTATACAAATAATAATACTCATACCATAGTGTCACCCTCCTTTTTATTTTATTTTAAAAATGACCACAATATAATTATTTTAATAAACCAAATATGAACAATTGCTTTATAGAAATGTATAGTAGGCCTAGCTAGTTAGTGGCTAGCTAGTGGCTATTTACATATGATATTTAAGCAGCAGATTGTTTTGCTTGTTTAGGGACTCTCCACTCTTCAAGGGACAGGTAGCAGAACGCTCCACAGGGTTTGACCCGCATGAAAAAAGCACCTCACACCAGGTGTGTGTGAGGAGGCAGAAGGCAGCAATCGAAACACCCGCTGTGTTAGCTGGGATTCATGTTAATGGTGAAATAGATGCAGGTTTCCAGGATAAAATGGAGAATATGTTTCATACAGCGTACTATGTTGTCAAGAAAGAAAAGCCATTTACTGACTTTCCGGACCTGCGCAGCTCAACAGTAGGACTGGCTCCAACATGACCAATTGTTACTTGTCAGACAAGGCATGTTTAAGGTGAGAATCACAAATACATTAATACTGTACATTCCAAATGTACTATTTAATTAGCTTTTTACAATTCCTTCATTATTAATGAAATTCCCTTTTTTTACCTTCAGATTCACAATTGATATCTACAATGTGGAGAGGGAGCAACTGCTTTCTGACCTAAAGAATGCAGGCTATATCAGTGATTGACGGGGCAACTGATACTGGGAACCTTGAGAATGAGATTGTCTATGTCAAGTTCTTCAATAAGGAGAGAGGAGTGGTTCAGTCCTTCCTTGGCATTGAGGATATCAAACACGCACATGCAGATGGTGTACTTTCTGCAGTACAGACAGTGTTTGAAAAAGCAGGTCTGGATAACTGGAAGGAAAAGGTGGTTTTCCTATGCGCTGATGGTGCGGCTGTCAATTTGGGGAAGAGGAATGGTGTGGCTGCAAAGCTGAAGGAAGAGATTGGACACCTGCTTGCTATACACTGTGTGGCACACAGGCTGGAATTAGGTCTGGTGGATTCAATAAAAGAGAATCAGAGGCTGAAGCAGCTGCAGGAGGTGCTGCAATATTTGCATCAGCAATACCACTACTCTCCAAAGGCACTGAGGGAGCTGAGGATGCTGAGGATGCTGGCAGATGCAATGGAGGAGAAGGTCCTCAAGCCTACAAACCTGAAGGGGTCCAGGTGGTTGCCCTACATCCACAAGGCAACTCAGATCCTGTGTAATAGCTATGCAATCTTTGTGGCCCACTTTGAGGACCAGGTCAGCCCAGAGAGGACAACCCGACCATCACCTGCAGTGATGGGAAGGGCAAAGAACATCCTCCACTACCTCAAAAGCCACACCAATGTCCAGTTCATGCACTTCCTGCTGGATACACTGGACTTTCTCAAGGCACTGAGCCTCCAGTTTCAGCAGGATAGTCTGACACCAGGGGAGGCAGTGCAGTACATTGAGGCCTGCCTCAATGGCCTTACAGAGCTGTGTCTGGAGCCCGGAGAGCAGCAAAAGAAGATGTTGGCTGATGCAATGAATGGCACCTATAGAGGGGTAGAGCTCAAAAACACCACCACAGACACACTGGCTACAGACAGGAAGAAAATTACAGACATGCTTACCAAACATATTGAGAGCCGTCTGGAAGACCTGCTGTCTACCGAGAGCATTGTGCAAACATTCTCATCTCTTGATCATAATGTGTGGCCAAAACTGGACAACTCAGATGAGTCCAAAGAAGCCTTTGTCCTCCATGGACGAGCAAATATTGAGTCCCTGTGCCACCATTACCAGAGCGTCCTGGTGCGTGAGGGGACCACAGTCACTGAGGTGTTGGGAGAGTACAGGCTCTATAAAATCTGGGCAAGAATGCGGAATGGGCCCCTCAGAGACACTCTCCTGGAAATACTCCAGAGAGTTGATCTACAGACCAAGTTTAAGAACCTAGGCATCTTTGCCCAGATCTACCTAACAATGGCTGTCAGTACCGCAGCATGTGAGAGAGGCTTCTCTTGCATGAAGAGGGTGAAGAGCGACTGGAGGTCCTCACTGTCGATCCAAAATCTCACTCGTCTCATGTTCCTGACCATTGAAGGGCCTAGTCTGGATACCTTTGATGCTAAGAGAGCTGTTTTGCAGTGGTGGCAGTCGGGGTCAAGAGCCAGACGTCCAGGATTTACAGCCTGGTCATCAGGAGGACGGCAAAATCAACCGACCGCAGAGGAAAATGAGGAAGAACTGACGATTGAAATGTTGTAGTATAGTAGTAATGTAGTTTGTAAATAAATTACTATTGCAACAAATGTGTTCATTTTCTTCATTATTAGAGTCGATTTTTTTGGACGAATTCTCTTGGGCCAGTGGTTACAATGGTGGGGCCAGTGAAAATGCCGGGCCAGTATATTTTTACCCTTAATGTCTACCCCTGCATTAAGGTTTCCACACCACCCCCTGGGAAATTCTTGCACAATTATGCTGTAAAATCATTGCATCATTCCTTCAGAGTCTGAACAATCTGAGACAAGCATGTCTCAAGATCTTGTCATAATGAGCACAGTCAGTGATGCAGCTGTAGTCAGTGGCAGGGTCCCCCAAAAGCTAGAATCGGCCCTGGTCAGTGGTATATGCTTTATGAATACATAGATAGCAAATATTGATAATATTGTAAACTAGTCCACTGTATGTCTTATAACAAAAGAGCCGACATACACACACACACACACACACACACACACACACACACACACACACACACACACACACACACACACTGTACAGTAACTTTTTATATGGAGTGACATGTTTTCCTGGAATATGATCTGGTCGACATTCCAAGACATATCATGTCGTATTTATTGTCTCATTCATCTTATTTAGAAATTGTAATCCTTTGCAGATATAACATTATTATTGTTTATTGCATTTATTTTTTAAAGCTCATACAAAAACAGACGACAGAGTAGCTTCTTTCCTCAGGCTTTTTTTTGTTGTTATGTAGCTTAAATGGACTACAACTGCATTTGGTTGCAGTACCCTGTGTCGTCCAATCACAATAAATTGACCTTGATCCTTGAACCTTGTCGATGCATTTGCAGTAACTGCTACAATAATGGGAAGGTTAATTGATAGCTGTTTGATTGCTTTGTGAGAAAAGCTGTTTCAATCAATATTCTTCTATGTACAATAGATACAATGACCACATTTAGTTGAGGTCACAGTTATAAACCAGAATCACCTGACTGTGCAGTTCTCCTCAGCTACGCAGAGCATTTTAAAATCTTTACCCTCATCGTTTTGGTTTTATGGCCAAAATATTTGCTGTTTATGTTCTTTCCAACAGCTGCAATATCAAGTTTTCCCATCAGGCCACTGCTTTAAGAGAAACAGTTCTCACTGAACCTGCCTGAAGTGAAGGAATGGTAACTGGAAGCAGAAATGTATGGAGGGAAAGTTTATAGAACCAAACCAAATTAAACACCTGGCCACAAAATGAGGGGACTTCACATTAACCCCAGTGTGAACTTGAACACGTGAAGACATTTTTTGAGGGAAGCAGAAAGTAGCAGTTCCCGGCACCAGAATGCGTTGAGCAGCATTTCCCCTCCTCTCTGACAGTGAACGTTTGAACCTGTTATGGCTCTTACATTTTAAAGAGTATATTATGTAGTATTCAAATCATTTTGTTCAGGAGAATCAATTTAAATAAAAGTGCTTATAGTTTAACGCTTGTCAGAGCTTCAACCTTTCCTGATGTTGTCCTTATTCCATTAAAGGATAATTATTGAAAACTCCTTCACATCTGAGCTCAATGTCTCTAAAAGTCCCATTTCAACGTATTTTATTGGTTATTTTGCATCCTTCATCCATTTAACTCGTTACCACTTTCCAACAATTTAAATTACTTAAGCTGCTTTTACTTGTATTTCCTACTTATGTTTAATAATTTATATTCTGCAATATGAAGTTTCCCTATCAGGCCGCAGCTTTAAGAGAACAAGTTCTCACTGAACCTGCCTGACTAGAGAAGTGAAGGAATGGTAACTGGAAGCAGAAATGTATGGAGGGAAAGTTTCCTAACCTGCTCTGCAGCGTACTTTGTTGACCCCACTAACCTGAACTCTGGCTGGTTCAGCAGCATTTTCTATCTTCTGTGCTCAAAGTATTTTTGATGAGCGTCCTCCCAGGTTTGACTGGAAAGATGGGCTTTCAGAGGTTGTTTTGTACAAAATCAACAGACCTTTGATCCAAATCTTAATTGGAACACCTTTTCTGGAATAACAGGTAAGCAGAAAATAGCATTTCCCGGCATCAGTAAGAGTTCTAGATGAACACGTTGAGCAGCATCTTTCCCTCCTTCCTTACAGTAAATGTTTAAGCTGTTATGGCGATTACATTTTAAAGAGTAGCCGATACATATTTAGTATGCAACAAGGTTGTTCAGGAGATCATCCTGTTTCCCCCGTAAGGTAGATTCAGGATTCAAGGCTTTGATAGTTAATGAGAACTCCTTGTGTGCTGATGTGGAAACCGCATGGTCTTATTTTTATCTTGGTTTTATGGAGATCATTGATAGACATGCACCCCTGAGTAAAGGGACGAGCCAATCCTTGGTTTTCTGCTGAGCTGTCTAGTCTCTTTCATGAGAGAAACAAGGCCTGGGCAAAGGCTAGGCAATCAGGCTCAGAGGTAGAGTGGCTGCGTTTTAGGCAGCTAAGGAATAGCTTCACTTCAAATGTCAAAAGTGCAAAGTCGAAGTACTATTTGTCAGTTACCACAGAAAACCTAAATAATCCTAGGACATTTTGGAAAGCAATAAAATCGATATCCGCCGGTGAGATCCGTAATGAGCTACCTCCGTGCCTTACCACAGCATCTGGCTCTATATTGGACAGGGCCACTATGTTAAATTGCTTTAATGAGCATTTTGTGTCCTGCGGTTCTATGTTTGATTCTGTGACTAACTCTGCTTCTGTGAACACCCCAATCCGTGACCCTGAACAATGTGGTCTGGAAAACCCTTTCAGTTTTACTCCTTTTACTGTCAATGTTGTTCATGAAGCCTTATCTAAGCTAGATCCTAAGAAACCGGCTGGCCCGGACAACGTAGAACCTTTCTTTTTAAAGATAGCTGCAGATTGTATTGCTCTTCCTCTTACTACTCTTTTTAACCTCTCCCTCAGCACAAATGCAATTCCAAAAGTATGGAAGTCAGCTTATGTCTTGCCTTTACTAAAAGGAGGGGAGGCAACTATTTTAAATAACTATAGGCCAATCTCTAAATTGTCAGTTCTGGCGAAGGTGCTCGAACGCCTAGTGAGTGAACAGGTAAAGGTGTTTTTATGTAAAAATGATATCCTGTATAAACATCAGTCAGGCTTCAGAAAACAACATAGCACCATCACTGCCACAATGAAAGTGGTGAATGACATTACGAGTATTTTAGACAATAAGCAGAGTTGTGCAGCTCTATTTATTGACCTTTCCAAAGCGTTTGATACCGTCGATCATCGCATCTTAAAGCAGAGGCTAGCCAGTATAGGCATGTCCAGCCATGCAGTGGGTTGGTTTGTGAACTACCTCTCTGAAAGGTCCCAATGTGTTCACTTTGATGGGCTGTCTTCTGAGTGGTTAAACATTGCTAATGGTGTTCCTCAAGGTTCTGTTTTAGGTCCACTTTTATTCTCCATATCAACAGTTTAGGTGAAAATGTGGATGAAGCTACTTTACATTTTTATGCTGATGATACCGTGATGTATTGTGCAGGTCCCTCCATTAAGGAGGCTGGTGTTAAATTACAGGCTGTTTTTAACATTATTCAGACTCAGCTTGCTGAACTTAAGCTTATTTTAAATGTTGATAAAACCAAGTTAATGCTATTTTCAAAAGCTAAAAAGACACCAGAGCCTGTTTTGGATATTGTTACTATGCAAGGACAAGTACTTGAAGTGGTTACCTGTTACAAATACCTTGGTATCTGGCTTGATGATTGTCTTACTTTTAAACTTCATGTCAATAACCTGCTTAAAAAGCGGAGGGTTAGACTAGGTTTCTTTTTCAGAAACAAGTCCTGTTTCTCTTTTGAAGCCAGGAAAAGGCTAGTCACTGTGACCTTTTTACCTGTGCTGGACTATGGTGATTTGATCTATATGAATGCACCTGCCCATTGCCTAGAAAAGTTAGATGCCGCCTATCACAGTGCCCTGAGATTTGTTACTAACTGTAAAGCACTTACTCATCACTGTACCCTGTATGCCAAGGCAGGTCTGCCTTCACTAACTGTACGGAGGCTCAGTCATTGGTACATGTTCATTTACAAAGCCATGTTGGGTAAACTACCTTTTTATATCTGCTCTCTGATCTCTCGACGAATTGAAAGTACATATTGCCTGAGATCTCATGATGTTGTTTTATTAAATGTGCCAAGTGCTAGGACTGTCTTAGGGAAGAAAGCTTTTAGTTGTGCAGCTCCACTAAATTGGAACAGTCTGCAAACATGTTTAAAACTGAGCACTTTGGTTCCCCTGCATCATTTTAAAACTCGGCTGGGTGACATGCTGTTTGATACTGTTATGGAAATCTAAAAACCCCAATACTGTAGAGTACAAGTCAGAGTGATCAAAACAAATAAATGGTGAATCAGACAGAGTTGTCTTTCTGATGATTTTATTTGAAGCTTCAAATATATATAAATACAATACAATAAATATAGACACAGGTCCCACAGAGTATAGAATAATCTGCGCGAGTGTGCGCAGTTCAATATGGTAGCAAGGCTTATATACAAGAAATGGTGGGAAGGTAAGAAATCTGTCTTCACACGGTCACATTGTTATTAGACACATGTCCTTGAGCTGTAGATCTCAGGAAAGGCAAGTTCTCGTGTGACTATGTGTGAGTCTCAACATAATAGCAGCTGTGGCCTTGAAGTAGAGTAGATAGAGGCAAACAGCACATCTAACCAAATGAGAAGCATTTGGTTTAAACATATCAGGATATAATAAAAATGTCCACTACATTCCCCCCTTTTGATCATACTTGATCAATAAAAAAAACAAATGACAGGATAGACTGATATAACACATCAATGAATACACTCCATCACTGGTTTAAGTAAACACATCACAAATATATCATAGAAAACTGGCTGTTTTTGTGGAGGACAGACTCCAATATAATGTAAGCATAAGAGGAGGATACACTCGATTCACATGATTATATTGATTATATTGTAGTGTCGGAATCAGACTCTTCTGATTCTAGCTGGTCTATCTCACTGTGGCGCAAAGGATTGTCTTGTAATGGA